ATAAGATTTTCAAACCTGTAGCGCTTTGGTAGGTCAATGCTGTGGTTTAATACTGGGAAGCCTTGTTTTGTTTTTTTGTTTTGTTTTATTTTTTAAAGTGAAGGAATTCTACTTAGGTGTAGCATTGATGCATGTAATGATTATGGGCTAACAGCACTGAACAACTTTTTTAAATTTACAAGAATAAATTAATGAAAAACAAATTTGAATTTTGCTGTGCTAGAGAAGTTCCCACACATTTTCATAGTGGGGGCACATCTTAGAACAACTGTGCATTGTAGATAATCTACCTACTCACTGGTGATTGCACAGACCTCCCCCACACCTTCATGATTCCTTAACATCCCTGTTGCAACTACAGCAACTGCTCGCCTGGATGAAGTAATATTAGAAAAGTACTCATGTATTTTTAGCTTCCCTGAATACAATTTAGCAGCTGGAAATTAGAAGCCAGAACCATGTGACCATCTAGTGGTCTGTGAATCACTATCAAGAAATATCAAAACAAAATTTTGTTGTTTCAAAACAACATTTTGAAACAAAATTAGTTTTCATTTTGACAAATGCAGTATATTCAATGAATATCCATTCAAAACCATTTTCATTTTGGTCAAAAAGTTTTGTTTTGAGATTTCTGATTCAAAACTTTTTATTTTTCTTTCCTTGAGAATTTTCTGATATTTTGACTCTCTGTTCTGATTTGAAAGGGAAACTAGTTTAAAAGTACTGAAGTTTCCAGCAGGCCATTTTCTGCCCACCTATAATCACAAGTCAGAGATACAGGGAGTTGTGGGAGTTAAATTTTCAGGTTTCAAGGTTTAATTTGTTAAAAAAAGTTAGATTCAAGTCAAAGAATTTCTAAAGGCCTAGCCACTAACATTAGGTAGATTACCGTGGACATCACATGAGAGGTGGGTTTTGTGTTATCCTACTAAATACAAACCCGAAGATTTTTAGGCCTCTGAGATTTGCTTCCTAGAGGGCAATACATCAAACTGCAAGGTAGCCAACTACTTTAATATCTTACACTGGAGGAAGATTCCTGTACAACTATCAGCACCAGTGATTAGGCACCTCAAGGCCATATTTTCAGAAGCATTCAGCACTCACATCTGGTGCTATTTTTTGTTGTTGTTTTTCTAATAACAGCTCAGCACCTAGCAGCAACCACTGACAACAATGAGGTGCCAGGAGCTGAGCACTTATGAAATGTGGCCCTTCAACTTCAAAAATTGGTGTAAGTCTGAAATAAAGGTCAGTAACCCAGATATGGAAATATTTATTATCCTTTATGCCAACTTTCCAAGTGCCATTTTGCATAGCACCAGCAAAGATGGCTGCAACCGGCCCTATACCAAACAGGAAAAACTACGTTATTTAAGCTGTCCTGTGCAACCCTTCACCCTCCCACGTTGACAGGCTGGAATTTGTCCCATTTCTCAACAGGACAGTTAAAGTCTCAAGCAAAGACAAAGAACAATGAAATTAGCTATTCTTAGCTGCATATACAAATATATAAAATAGTATTCTTAATGTACCACCGACATGATTTTCACTGTCCATCAACTTCAGGAAAAGTGCTGTGTGCAACATTGACCTCCATACCTGGCCTTCAATGACCTCACAAAAGCATTTCACTCCACCAATCATGAGGCTCTGAAGAATTCTCCTTAAATTTGGATGCCTGCCAAAAATATTTGCCATTCTTTCTGACTCCATGACAACATGTTTGTGACTGTTGTCGGCAATGGATCTGAAATAGACCCCTTCCAAGTCAAGACAGGAGGTAAGCAAGGTTGTGTCAGCGCCAACCCTTTTCTCCATCCTCCTTGCCATCATCCTTCTTCTCATCAGTGACAAGCTCCTCTCCGGACCTGACCCCCAATACAGAATGGACAGCAAGCTCCAATCCAAGACCAAAACTATCATTAAGGCTGTGAGTTTGTCACAGAGGTCACGGAAATTACGGCTTCCGTGAATTTCCGGGACCTCCATGACTTCTGCTGCGGCTGATGCAGCTCAGGCAGCCCCTGAGCCAGCTGCAACAGCCACTGCTGGGGCAGTCTCGCGCCACCGCACCCTTCTCCCCCAGTAGCAGCAGAAGTTTTGGTGTGGGCTCAGGGCTGGGGTGCAGGACAGGTTGAGGGCTCTGGACGGCGCTTACCTTGGAGGTGGGAGAGAAGAGGGACTCCCTGGAAGCAGCGACATCCCTCGGTTCCTAGGCCTCCACCTGCAGATACCGCCCCCACAACTCCCATTGGCCGCAGTTCCCGGCCAATGGGAGCTGTGGAGCCAGCGCTCAGGGCGGAGGCAGTGTGCAGAGCTGCCTGACCACGCCTCCGCCTAGGAGCAGAGGAAAGGGGATGTCGCTACTTCCAGGGAGGCATAAAGCCAGGCAGGAGCCTGCCAGCCCTGCCCTCCCAGCACCCGCTGCACCCCCAGGTTGACCCCCTCCTCCCCTGCAAGATTTAGTCAAGGGTATATAGTACTAGTTATGGACAGGTCACGGGCCATGAATTTTTGTTTACTGCCCGGGACCTGTCCATGATTTTTACTAAAAATAGCCATGACTAAAACATAGCCTTAACTATCACTAAATCAGTCATTGAACTCCAATATGCAGATGGCTGCACCCTGTGCGCTCACTCAGAAGAAGATCTTCAAAAAATAGCCAGCACGTTCTCTGAGGCCTATAACCAATTTGGTCTCACACTTAACACCAAGAAAACTAAGGTACTCCACCAACAAGCTCCGAATCACCAGGATCCTGCTCCCGTAATTCAGATCAATCAAGAAACCCTGGAGAACATCAAGCACTTTTTTTACTTCGGCAGCTATCTGTCACACAAAGCTGACATTGATGAGGAAATTCAACAGTGCCTTCAAATGCACCAATGCAGCTTCAAAAATCGTGACATCAAGAATCAAACCAAGCTTCTCATGTACCAGGCCGTTGTTGTCCCTGCTCTCTTATATGGGGCTGAAACCTGGGTCAGGTACAGTAGACAACTTAAGGTTCTTGAATGATACCATCCATGGTGCCTCTGCAAGATCTTCCGAACCAAGCGGGAAGACTGAGGCACCAACATCAGTGTTCTGTCCCAAGCCAAACCTCCAGCATTGAAGCTATGATCATCCACCACCAACTCCATAGGGCTGGTCACGTTGTTCGAATGCCAGAAAATCGAATCCTGAAGTAGGTCATGTTCTCACAATTGTGCCATGGCCAAGGGGGTGGGGGGGCAAAAAGTGCTTCAAAGACCCCCTCAAAGCCAACAAAGAAGTGCAATATTGACAGACTCATGGGAAACCCAAGTCCTCAATGACCAAAATGGAAAAGGACTTTGTGGCAAGGATCCCAGTATTTCAAGATCCAACTGGAACACAAAATGGAGAAATGGGATAGAAGGAAAGAACACACCGCAGTCCCACTCAACAATCTTGATCCACCCCTTCCACTGGGAAACGTGATCGTGACAAGATCTGTGGATCCTGGATTGGTCTCATTAGCCACCTGCAGAGCTACCAGCATCAGTTATATGGAAGAGAACCATCCTTGAACTCTGAGGGATCATGGACTACTATACTATTTTATGTTTCTTTTTCTTGAAAATTACAGAGGAAGTATCACATTTTAAAAGAACGCTGCTCATCTCAGCATTTTGAGTCACTTGCCATCTACAAACATTGTAGTCAAGTGAAAAACACTTTCCACTAAAACTAACATTGCCAGTGATCTAGTTGTTTGTACACTGCACTGCTATGTGGTAAAATCTGGTAGAACCCCTGTATTTATGCTGCCTAATGGTTCCTGCTAGAAAAGTCCCTGGATTTTCTTCTGAGACATTTTAACCCCAACATTGTTTCCAGCAGGCCTTTGAAATTTTGCAGGGAGGAAGCCCTCAGACTAGACATGTGCCTTTTGCTTATGCCATGAAATTCTATTCAACGTGGCTAAGATATAAACTGTTAAACCACCCCTTCTCTTACTTGCATTACTAAGGAAAATTCTGACAACATGCCAAAATTGTAACTGAACACGGTAACAAACAGAGCCTAAACTGCCATTCAAACAGCAGTGGCACAAATTTGTACTCAAAATGCTAGGGAACTACCAGAGCAGCCTGGGATAAGGGGAGGAAGAAGAGAGCCAGATCAAACTTCCCCCTGACCACAACCTCTATCACCTGGCTTGATGGGTCCATTTTGCCCTTTGGGGGTCATCACATGGGGGAAGTGCTTCTCCAAACCATGGAAGAGGTGGAAAGACCCAGACTAGACTCCCCTCAAGTCCCTGCCCCTACCATCTTGGAAGAGTAGAGAGACCCAAAAAAAATAAAAGGGGAGGGGGGAAATCCCAAGGCCTGCTTCTTGCAAACTCTTCCAGTGTCACTTTCTGTCATCAATACTGAATAGAAAGTTCTTGGTTTGTTTATTTTTAAGTTCTTTTTCTACATTTTCCATTTATTACATCATTAACTACAGCTTTTGGTATATGAGGGACAGTTTTGAGATACTGATGGATTTCAGAACTGAAGATATTTCAGTAGTCTTGCTTGACCCCTGTATAACACAGGAGGTGACCGAATGCAACACATGAAGTTCTAAAAAGTGGCTGTTCACATGTTTAATAAAGAAGTGACACCTATAGAAACCGCAGCTCCCAGCTATGCAATTCTTCATCTTGACCCAAACAGAAGGCTGCTGGAATCAAGACTGATCACTGCATACTAGGAGCCACAGTACCCATGGCCTACACCTCGATAGTCAGAAGTTAAGATCAGCTCTAACATGCTCTGCCTTACAAATTTGATGCCCCTCAACTCAGGAACATCTGAGCTCCTGGTATGCACATTTACCATTGTTTTCTTATTCTGGACTCCACTATTTTCACACAGTTTTTAATACCCCTAAAAATTCAAAGCGTACAGTGTTATTATAATACCACTAAGTAGCCTTAATGAAGCTTATTGTCTGTGAGCCTCTCAATGCTAACTTACCTTCTCTCCGCTAGAGTAGAAGAAGTATCGCAATCGGACAATGTTACAGTGATCCAACTTTCTCATGATCTGGAGCTCTCGGTTCTGAAAGAGTAAAAGCACCATAAGGTTAGGATTTTTTTTTTTTTAAACAGTGGTGTTACGGTGTACTGTGCACCTTAAGTGTATTGGCCAAGAGCACATGAAAGCCACTGAATCAGGGATGCATTAGGAATGAGGTGTTGAAAAGAAAAAGTCTGGAAGTTTAAATAGGAATGTAAGTAGCTCCTTTGCCATAAGTACGAAATGTGGTTTAGTCTGTCTCATGTTGCTCCTTATTCCTCTTCCTCCAATTGTTTTAACTACAGTATTCAAGGGTGCAGATTTTCTTAAACTAAAGAGCACTGTAATTAAACAACCAACCCAAGGTGCTGAGCACCAGAGCTTATTGCTGACAAGCAGATGCAATAAATGTTGTACTCAAACTCAGAGTTAGTTTTCAGTTTGTATTTTCTAAGCTTTGAAAGCTACATATTCTAGTCCGAATAGTCAGCAGGCTTGAACTGTTCACAGAGTGGAATGGTAGTGATTTCGCAGTTAAGGCTGCAGCAGGGTTTTAAATCTATTTTGAAGATGCTGTAAAAGTGGTAAAAACAGAACAGACGTTAACTGACATTTTATTTTTTCATGTTGGTTTGGTGCAGGTTGGGTAGACACAACTAAGTAATCAAAAATAACAATTCAAACATTTTAAAAGGTGATTCCACCTTTTCTTGGAACCCTTTTGTCAGAAATGTCTAGAGCTCATGGATCTGATTTTTGTTTGGACAATATTATAGAAAAGCAGGTACACTCCCTTTTTCGTCACAATGTTTCTAAGCCGCTATTGCACAGCGCACAGAGAGACAGGTGAACACATTTCCACACTAAATACTCCTGTTGCCTAAGGCAGTTCCCTGAGCTGGGAAACAATCAACCATGCATTCCAATCTCACTTCTACTGACTGAAGTCTAACAAGATTTATACAGAACTATCAGAAGGACACACTGTTTTGCTTGGCAGAATAAAGACAATTACTGTTAGTGACTAAACATCTCCACTTTGTAGCAATCCAAAAAAGCCATTAATTTAAAATACATTTATACAGCATGATAAATGTGCATTAGCTCATGACAGATGACAATGGTCCTTGCCTCAAAAAGCTTAAGACATAAAGTGAGATGGTGACAAACATAGGTGTTTAGGGAAATAGACTGGAGCCCCACAGTGATGAGCCTATAGTACAAACAAAGCAACAATCCATTTTCCAGAGAGCTTACACTCTAAAAACAAAAATAAATGAAGAACTGAAGTATGGATGGGGATAGAACACAAAAGGAGATGTAACTAACAAAGCCATGCCAATTCATGTATTGTTATTGGTACAGTGTCCCCCACCCCCGCCCAACACCATCCCCTAATCACTTCTTTCATGTTCTCTTTTCCACATCTCTCTTTTACCTCTACCTAAACTGTAGGAGACAGTGCAGTGTATCAGTAGCAAAAGATGTTCAAGCTTATAGAGACTAGTCTCTATAAAAATCAGATCTGAAGCTAGCTTTTTAAACACATCCAATTTTGAATGTATCCCTACACCTTAACTTTACCAGATTTCAACTGATATCTGAAATTTGGCATGCAGCATCTTAGTCAGAGGAAAAATCTTTTTGCAAGACTTGGGGCAAATGGGAAAAGAGATTTGAGAGCTAGAGGGTGGGGAGGGTTAAAAAATTCAGGCTAGTTACATTTCTGGGTCATTTTCTTAACTTTTTTTTTTCTTTGTCACATGTCCGGCCAAAACAGCTTGATTTAGAAATATTAAATTTGTCTTGTTAGCACTGTTACCTCTGACTAAATTCGGGAAGATTTGGGAGGGAGAGAATGTTTCCATATACTTAAGTGCACATAGCTAATGTTTGCTTTATAAAGCATCACTGTCATAATATGGACTTCATAAGCCATGCATCAGAGCCCCCTCCTGCCCCCCCCCTCCGTCATAACTATGCAAACTTCAGAAACTCTATGGATCATATGGAGGTCTTAAAGTGTGCATGGTTCTGATCCTTAGTTCAAGACGTTTTCTGCCTTCTGCTTCAAAATCCTTTACCATCTAGCCTTAAGTAGAGATGCTAGCTAGGAGGCCTTGAATTTTAATCCTATCACTGTCACTGACTGAATTTAAATAATACTTTGTATTATATAGCACTTTACAATCAGTGACATTTTGCAACACCATTATGAAATTGGCAATCTTTGTTTATAGATAAGAAAACTGAGGCTCAGAGAAATGATTGATCAAAAGCCCCACTGGTTGCGGCAAATCCATGGAAACAATGCAGGTTTTGTGCACGACAGGCACATAAGCTTCCTCAAATTACCTCTCTAATGTGCTTCATTTCTAACCTGGAGAAGCCAGCTGGGGGGGCGGGGGGGAGGGAAGGGGGGAGACGGATGGACACGACAGAAGGGAGTTCAAATCTTCAATCATTCTGTCCCTGATCTCTATTAAGATTGCTAAAAAGGAACAAATATTACCAGCTATGCTGGTGTTTTCTGTAAGGCACATTTATTCACTGGGAAGAAGAATGAGTTCTTCAACATTTCACACTAACCACTGGACATTCATCATATAGTATCAGCTTTTAGTCATTAGAGAAACAGGTCAAATCTGAACCACTGATCCTAAATATGAAAGGCTCCATATACCATCAATCACTCAGCTCTCTATTATGATAGCAATCTTAATACTTTCTGGAGGTGTTCACATTTCCATCGGAGTACTGAACACAAGATTGGAAGTCTGGAAGTTCTGAGATCGAAACCCAACTCCACCAGCAATTTTTTCATGACCTGGGACAAGTAATGTCTCTGCCTTTGTTTCAACAGCTTGAAGACGGGGATAGTAATAATTTCACACCTCCAACAGGTATTGGAAGATAAATCAATGTTTGTACAGTGCTTTGAATGTGTAAAGCACTACACACGTATTATTTCAGCAGTATCTTTATAAACTCCTGAATAAGTGTGCATACTCTAGCTCATACTGTTGCTTCATGATCTTAGGATCTGTATATCTGATAGCATATAATAATACATTCTGAAAATCAGCAGATGTTATTCTAACACTGTTACAAGTTCTATTGTGTGTCAGTATCCCATTCCAGGACAAGTGCGATCTCTGCTGCTCTGACGCCTCCCACTGCATCTCCTTAGGCACTCTCCCTGACCATCTGTCGCAGCTCCATGAACAGCTCATTATTGAGTGGTGACAGGAGAGTTAATTCAACCAAATACACAGTAAAACTAACACTTCACATACTAGAATCTAATAGGATAAAATGAAGGATTTTTATTTCTTTAAAGTAAAACCTAGCCAATCTCTGAATATCAGTTCACCTGAACAAATTAGATCAAAAATACATAAACAGCTGTGAAATTACAACTGTTATTGTAACAGGGAACACATACTAAAGTTAATTATGATTAAAATAGTCTAATGCTAAAATATGAAATGCAGTAAACTTCTAAGGACCCATTTTTCTCATATTAGTACTCCAAGCATATAAAATTTCCTCGAACACAGCCTAAATACACAATAGCCACTCACTTTACAACACAGCATATTACCAAATAGTTCACAACTACAATGACTGTTCTTGCCTTGGAGCTCACTCAAATCATAGCTTTTGAAACAAACAGAAAAGCTCCAAATAAAGATGAGAAAGTGTGAATGGAATAGAGCATATGAAATCAACTTATATTATTAGTGAGAGCCTTATTACATAAATTAGTGATGGCTACCTTAGATACAATTAGAACAGATAAAATGTTTGTCTAAATACAGTGCAACTAAAATCATTTCAGAGACACAGTGAAGAAAGGCTGACAGAACACACCCAAAGTAGAGGGTGGATGAAAACACAAGACCTCTGCTCATACCCAATAATGCCTCTTTCTTGTGTTCCAGAAGCAACAATCCAGCCAGTGACTTGGTGATATATCCAATGCGCAAAGACAAGCTTCTCCTAGCACAGTAGTTCTCAAACTCTGGGTCAGGACCCCAAAGTGGGTCAGGACCCCACTTTAATGAGGTCGCCAGGGCGAGCATTAGACTTGCTGGGGCCCGGGCCTGAAGCTGAAGACAGAGCCCCACTAGCCAGGGCTTCAGCCCTGGGTAGCGGGCTCAGGTTACAACCCTCCCCCCACCCCAGATGAAGCCCTCGGGGTTCATCTTTGCCCCCCCACAACCCAGGATGGCAGGACTTGGACTTCAGGTTTGGCCCTCCAGCCCAGGGTGGCAGGGCTCAGCCATGCTCAGGCTTCGGTCCCGCGTAGTAATTCTTATTGTCAGAAGTGGGTCACGGTGCAATGAAGTTTGAGAACCCCTGTCCTAGAATATCTTCTATCAACAATCCCTCCAAATGTTACCATCCCAGTTTTCTTAAAAGCAAGGAAAAGGCTTGGTATAAAAAGGCTTTTAAATATTTTCTTTGGGGGTAGGGTATGGCTTTTTCCAGGTTGTACATTTCCAAATTTCTACAACCCTTTGCTTACCATAGCTACAAACCAGAGCAGTTAGTCTAAATCAGAATTATGATCTCACTAAGCATTAGTGAATGTGCAACCCTCATTCCCAACTGCCACAATGGAGAACAAAATAAAGCTTCATTTATACTGAAATAAAGAATTCCTGAAGCACACATTCCTTTGAGAAACACTGAGTATTAAGGGGCTACAAACAGATCTCTTTGCAACTTATTTGCAGTTTGTGTTATTCAGCTAAAACCAGAATGAAGGAGGGGTGTTTACATGTGAATCTAGAAAGTTAAACTACGTTTTTCTTGGTGATAAAATTATAAAATCTGATGTGCCAAAAGTGCCCCTTCAGTAATGATTATTCTATCCCTTCTAAAACACTCTTCCTAGCCCTGAATGCCAAAGAGACTACCTATATAGCTTCTTACTTTAAATTAACCTGATTGCTCATCCCACATTTGAGTTACAAAGGTTGACAGGACATGCTCAGATTATAATAATCCTGTAATATACCAAATAAAGGTTGCTT